CAGAGAATGTGCTTCGAGAAGTTATTGGGTTTACATGATGTATAACACAATTTTTGGTTTGATTTTGTTTTTGAGTTGAGAATGTAAACATTAACTTTGCATTACATTTCAAGTTCATTGGAGTCAATACAAAAGTTTGCTATGAATTGAACATGTCTCCAGAATTATTAGCTTGCAGTGATAAGGGGTCCAATGGAACCCCCATTACTTACCCCCTACCATACTAGAGTCGGGTTTATGGAATTCGTCACACTTCACATGTGTAGCACCCCAGTGACTAATCATCTTCAATTCTTGGGTGTCTAATGAGTTCCCAGGAGTAATGGAAAAACAATATTAATTATTCTATCGTCCTTTCGTTATTCAGTGGCGTTAGTGTACCGGGTAGACGAGAAGGACGGTGGTGTGAGAAAAGGAATGATACCTTTTGATCTATGGCGCTTATGGACATGTGTCAAAAGGAATCGACGTTCGTCCGGAGAACCACTTCATTAAAGGATTATTATTGATGTGGTAGCATTCGTCCAGCCATCTGGATACTCATCGTTCGACTCGCCGTGACATGGACTAATGAGAAGGAACACTATATAAACTCGACCTCGAACTTCAGGAAAAAGGAAGGAGGAGGAGGTGAGAGGACAGAGTGTTCCAGACTTCGCTACTGTCACCAAGTGTCAGGACTCGGGTCCCATTTGTAATCTGGAACCTGGCTATTTCCATTCGGTTGGGGCCGAGAACATAAGTGCTGGTTGAAGCCGGACCTAGGCGAATCCGATTGGAGCCAGATCCTGTTCCTTGGTAGTTGAAGCCGGAAGGAACGATCAGAAATAGCAAGAACGAAATGGGAGAGTGGGCGTGCACGGTTGGAGCCCGAGCAACCCCTTTCGATTTCATTGTGTTAGCTGTGATTTCAATAAATAAAGGGGTTAAGATGCGAGCGCTGCTGCATCGACGTTGAACTAGTTTTGTTGATCTTTCTCAGAACTTCATTGTGTTTTTGCAAACTGAAGCTGTCGCCTTTGCTTGGTTATGCTGAGGATATTAGATCATTGCTTGACTATAAATATCTCTGATATCTTCTTGCATTTGGAACTGTATGTTAGGTAGCAAAATTAGAATAAATATAATCCTGATGTGAAGCCTGGTTCGCTTAGGAATCCTTGCCCAAGGTAATTGATTCCGTATCGACCACTACGAACCTTTCAAAGGGAGCAAATTCTCTCAATCAGTAACGATAAGGCAGTTTGGCAGTAAGATCATAAATACCTCTTGTAATTTAGTCTTACCGACCACGCCAGAGTAACGATCGTTACACATGGATAGGTTTCTTGTCCAATGGGATGGAGCACAGTTACTGAAATGCCATATGCGCCAAAAAGAGTTGCAAACTAAGAAAAAACATTACTCTGGACATTTTTGCAAAGAGAGATGTACTGAATTCGCTCGTGTCCACGTACACGAGGGACAGGAAAGGAGAGGACAAAACCCTGCGGGAGTCCAGCGCGTACCAGGAAACAATCCCCGATTCTCCCGCTCACTCGAACGCAGCTGCTGTAATCACTGTACCGTAGCTGTCCCACTATAGCTGACCCTTGATCCCATATTCCTGCAACATTCCCCCCACTCCTCGCTTCCCTCGGGGCACTCAGTCGTGCGCCTTTTCGAAGTCTACAAAGTACAGGTAAGCATCTTTGGCCTACTCCCAATGCCTTACGAGGATCTGGTGGAGAGGGAAACCCCGGTCGTGGTGCTGCGCCCTTCACGAATGTCGCAACTACTCCTCTTGGATGGCTCCACTCACAATTACCCGAGCTGTCTTTCCAGCACCTTGGAATAGACTTAACCAGATATGATGAGGATAATGACCCCACAATAGTTCGTGCAGTCCCTCGCGTCCCCCTTCTTCAAAAGAGGAACCACCACGTGGCTTTGCCAATCTTTAGATGCTGTCCTCGATTCCTAAGCGGTCTCATAAACTTTATACAGCCACAAGCACACATCTGTGCCCATTGCATTCAGAGCATCTGCCCGGATTTCATCCACCCCAGGAAACTTCCCATTCTTTAGGCTGACAATGGCCAGCAGAACTGCCTCAATGGTGACTCTAGTCTCCTCGCTGAGGGACTCCAAGTTGGGTAGGTCAGTGTCCACAGTTGGTGGGTTTAAGAGCTTCTCAAAGCGTTCCTTCCACCTCCCAAGGTGGAAGGTACACGTTGAGGAGCTCTCTTTCTCGTATCTTCCACCTTCCAAGTATGTCCGCCTCAGGAGCCTCCAGTTTCGGTCTTTGATGACCCGGAGAGTATGCTGCCTGCCTTACTGTAACCATCGGATGGTTTTCCTGAACATTTGATGGGAGTGCGGTAGACCGATTCCATTTGGACACGGAATTCCTTCCACCCTTCCTGTTTCGCTTTGGCCACATCACGAGCAGCAGATTGACACGCCTCAGCGTACCAGGCCCTCGAAGAGTCTGACCTTCTGGACATGTACGCCCTATAGGCAACCTTCTTAGCAGTAATAGTCTCGCGTGCCGCTGTTGTTGATGTTACCGTGCGCCACCCCGATGCGCCTCTCCTCGTACATTTTGCTGTTATTGCTGAAATACCAACCCGAAATAAAGCCCTATCGACCTCTATATCTGATGCTTGGGGAGGCAGTTGAGAGTACTTTTCGCCGATCAAGCTTTGGAAATTCCACACGAGTTCCCCCATCGGGAAGGGCTTCCCACCTCACTCGTCTTTCAAAGCGTGTGGTTCTTTACCTCGTTATGAGATTTGCCTGTATCCGAAGATTCCTGACCTCCAGATCAACGATGCGCAAATTTTTCATTTCGCGCCCCCTGGAAGAGGTTGAAGAAAGGGAAAGTAATTGAAAATTGCTTTTCACATACTTCATTATTTATTTCAAAGTTGGATAGTTAGGAACTTAGGATGCGGTGAAGAGGATGACTCCAGTGGTATAGGGGCCAGTGGAATGGTTCATCTGTACCTGGGCTGCCACTCTAGTTCCACAATGCCCTAAATGGTCGCCCTGGGAGCGCAGTAACTTTCGCAGTCCGGATTATCCTGGGTGACGACTGAACCAGTATGGAATGCCTGAGCAGAACTCATCATACTGGTTTTGGTTCGCCTTGGTCACGCTTAACGGAAGCCCCAGCAACATGGTTGAACCTGAGACACTACGGCCTTTTGCATCAATAGATGCATCAATACATCCTCGCGACAGGGACGCACGAACCATCGATGACATGAAATTAAAACTGTTTTAAGCAAAAGGTTACAGTAAAGTTTTCAACTCTTATAAAAACAAAAAAGACACCGTCAAATCGTGACGGCATATACTATTCTAACCCAATATTTAGGAAAGTGGCAGATATATAGTAGCCTAGAAGGGCCCAACCTGACTTCTTGAAAGCTTCACTTTTCACCCACCCAACGCTCCAGAGGTACAAGACTTCAGATTTAATGACGTGCGACCCTCTTCAGTTTGATGTAAAAAGCAGTAGTCGAACCAATCGAGCTGCAATAATATTGATGGTTTTCTCTCCGTTTTCTCATTCTCTGCTTCCTTTCCAAACCCCACTCTTGGTACATGTAATCAGTTGGCTTTGGTAGCGCCAATTCCCCTTCAAATTCCTTCCCGTCATAAAATTCAGTCTCCTCGTATTCCTCTCGGAGATGTAGAAAAACGAAATTTGGCATGATTCTTCCCCTCTCAACACGGAATTGCACCAACAAATTTCTATCTTCAGTTCCCCGGAGTTTTGGAGAACAATTATTCTCCCCTTTTAAAGATGTCGATTTCGTTCCGGTATTTCCTCCCCCCCCCCCCCCCCCCCCCCCCCCTCTTGGATAGTCTCTCCCGGGATGCTTTCGAAGAAAGTATTCCAACCCAAAGAAAGATATTGACTTGTTGGTTACGAACACTGTCCTTTTTATAACTCGCTATGCACTGTTTTCTTCGAGATATGAAATTATCGGTGGTTCATTTTAGTTTAGCCAATGGTTTCGAGTCCCATCTCCCAGTGTTGCTGAATATCGCGGTGGTGTAATGTCTGATTCATGACTACCTCGACTTCAAATCGCCGTCTGGATTATTGGGCTTTTATTTATGAAAATAAATAATGAAATGAAATGGGATGAGCTGAATTCATGGGATTGAAACAGTGGTCAGCAGCGGCCGATCGATGTGGATATGCAGGAAGATGTGGCCATGGAGTGGTATATTACTCAAGCGAAGATAGATGAGGAAGACGTTGAAGTTGTTACAGATTTCGTATTCTTGGGGTCGATCATCCACATGGATGGTGATTGCAGCCGTGAAATAAGGAGACGTCTGCTCCTTGGAAGAAAAGCCATGACGAATCTGGATAAATTGATCAGATGCAGCGAAGCCACGCTTTCGACGAAAGTACGAATTGTCAGAGCCAGTTTCCAGTTTTTCCCTGTTACAACATATGGCAGTGAAAGCTGGACATTCAGAAAAGCTGAAAGGATAAAGTTTGAAGCTTTTGAATAGTGATGCTGGAGAAGATTACTGAACATACCATGGACTGCAAGGAGAACAAACAAATCAATATTGGAGGAAGTGAAGCCGAACTGCTCTCTGGATGCATCAATAACAAAATCGAGGCTGAAATATGTTGGTCATATAATGTGAAGACAAGACTCATTAGAAAAGACATCGATGCTTGGTAAAACGGAAGGAAAAAGAAGGAGAGGACGACGGAGAACACGATGAATGGACACTTTCATGGAAGACACAACTGGGGATGCAAGGAATTGGCCATGGATAGAAAATGCTAGCGAGACCTTGTCCATCGAGTCACCAAGAGTCGAACACGACTAAATGGATAAAACACACACACGCAAGGGGTGGTGGCAAAGTTTTCCTCGTCCACATTCATTTTTCAACTCTAACATGTATCTTGTATTACTATGGTGTGCATGTAAACACAGTACAGTATCATCACATTCGCCAAGGCACTAAGAGCTCCGGGTTTAGAACTTTTGGATTAGATGTGGCTGCTTTGCCAGCGTGAGACCATCCATGAAAACCTTGAAGACATCATCACCCATGGCGCACACGTAATGGAGTAGAAGGCTTCGTCTCTTATTCGCCTCTTTTGTCGCGTTGAATTCCTGCCGTTTGCTCAAAGGTAACTTGTCTTCTGATATCATGTGATTCTCTACTTGCTTCACGTCCATGTATTCGATGAGATCCTTCCAATTCTTCTTAATGACTTCTTGATGCGAACGATAGATCACAGTCTCTTTTCGTACCAGGCTGTTTTTAATGCTCACCTTCCATTTGTCTGGAAATAGACAAAAGAAACAGTGAAGGTGCAATACTAGAGAGAAGTGTATCCGTGCATTACGTTCCGGATCTTCCAAGTTCGTGTTAGAAGGTCTCACTTGCCTTTTGCCATCGGGGGAGGAAAAGGCCCCGACGATTTCGAGAGAGAAGAGCTCCCATCCGATTTTGAGGGAGGAGAGCTTTCGTCCGTTTTCAGGAAGGGAGACACTTGAGCCGATTCCGGGGCGACAGAAGAATCTTCACCAGTTTCGCAAGTGCTGCCCATGGATTTTACTGCAAATAAACAAAGCATGAGGTTTTACTTGAAGTCCTGATAGACTTTAGTTTGCAAATGCCTCGAGATCAGCCTACGAGTCTGACTCGCCTCGTTCGGATCGGCCAGGAGAGTAAGACCTACCTGACATTTTCGGAGATGTGTCCTCTACCAATTCTGAGGTGGAAGTGTGAGAAGAAAATTCTCCATCAACCCCATCATGTTGCCCCTCCATGTTGTCTCCTAAAAATTGTTGATAATCGAGAGGAAACATTAGAGTCCTTCCCCTTGATGTATGGTCTCCAGGTATTGACCTTTTCGACATTTGACCTTTGGCTTTTGACCTTCGACCCTTAACCCTCCCTCTGATCTGCACTGACATGGAAGAAATCTCTATTGGCTTTTTTCCTCAACATGGATCGACGGCCTGTGTTAAGTCCGTTAAGTCTCTGCATGTGACGCCTTCCTCGGCTTGGCTTAGGGGCATGTTCGCCTTCAAATGCGATACCTCACCGCATTGTCTTGAGATTTCCCGCATGAAATTTAGATAATTTTGTCATCTGAATCTCCAGTAGTCTCCATGATAAACAGAAGTGGTTTGGAAGTTGACGTCTCAGTGACGATGCTGAAGAAAGGAATGTCACTTGCACCCTGAAATGTGTCGTGTCTGATCTATGCTGCTAACTATATAAATCCGTATAATTGGTTTAAAGTTAGGTTCGACTAAGCGTAAACCGATGAAGGGCAAAATCAGTTTCAGCGCATGAAATGGGTGGATAGCGGTCACAATCAAGCCCCTCCCCCCTTCCCCTAGGAGAAGGGGGGGGGGCCCTTCCCCTAGGTTTTACTGCCCCTTCCAAGGAGATCTACTGTAGCTACAACACTGTTCAGGAGAGTCAGCGGATATCCTTGGACGCTGAAGTTTAACCTGGAAATCTGACTTGCCTTGTAGGCTGGAGGTGGGTGAGCTGAGCGGACTTTCGGGAGAACTTCTCTCCAGAGACGCGAGCCAGCGATCCCCACTTCCCTTTCCTGGCACACGATCGCATGGCAGTACAGTCGATGACTCGAAGGGACTCGGATGGGTTGGGATGCATGGGCGTGACCCGCGAGTGACCCAAAAGCCAATCGCCAGAGCGAGGACGAGGAGAACGGCAAAGACGGGGCCGATGACAGTCCATGGTGATCCTCTTTTCTCTCCGTTTTCATCCGAACGTTTTAAGCATACTTCATCCTCTCGGTTCACGGTCCATGCTTCCGCAAAATACCTGAACGACGCAAGACAGTGCCGGGATGAGAATGACCTATTACTTATGGGAACGCGAATGCCAAGGTGATGCCAGAGTAGATGTAGACTGTATCCGTAGGCGTAAATTAGGAACGCACCATAACTTTGGACGAATTCCGGAGGAACTCATTTGCGTCCGCAGCGTGAGAACTGTCATGTGATAGCACGATTGTTTTATGCCGTGTTCCCGATTGGGAACATTTGGACCATAAGTTCAAGGCTCGAAAAAGGGCGATTCTACTCGATTGTTCGAGAAGAGGCCGTTTCATCTCATTGCAGCCAGCAAATTGCGGCTCGAACCCAAGCAAAAAACGAATGGTTTGTCATCCGCTCGAACGTGTAAACTCACCCTGTCTGGCACGGCCCGCAGTCCTGGTGGGACTGCGGGTGTTTGCTCGTTCCCGGCTGTCGGTGGTAGAAATGCTCGCAAAATTCCTCAGCCGATGGCGTCGCCCTCGGCTCCGTGTTCGGGATCTGCGAAGCAGCGGGGAGAAGTCTTTTTTTTTTCACAAGCAAGGCTTGAAAATGCAGGCTTTTGGAGGAAGCATTATTAAATCATGAGAAACGAAATCGGTTTTACGCACAGCTCGGAATTGCAATATCCTCGATAACAGCAAATACAGGGTTGCTGATCAATACAGCAACCCTGTATTTGCTTAGGAAATTACCCAAAAATACCTAACAGGTGGCAGTGCACCTGAACAGGGGTGCGGCCTCATATGCAAAGTTAAAAAGGACTAGAATTTTTTGCATGATATGAATAAAGCACGAAAGGAATGAGTGCTGTCACCGAGACTATTTTTTTTCGGAGGATGGCACCAATCCCAATGATTTCGCGTCATCCGAGGTAGACAATTTGCAAATAACCGCAAAAGAAAACTTGTTTGAGTCTCCATTCAGTTCCAGTTAGCAGCGCCAAATCGATGCGACGTTCTCTCGTCGCTGGGTTTTGCTCGCTTCCGACGCGAGACGCACTTACTCCATTTCCTTTCGCTCTCCTCATTTATGAACATGCGACCACAGACCTCGCGTATCGCCACCCGGTGAGGATCGGAAAAGGCCAATAATCCGACGAAACTCTCCGTCGAATATCACGTTGGTCCTACCGTTCCTTTCGAACGTACGGCCGAACAACTACGGGTAGTTTCATCGCGATACGATGAAACGTTTACGTGAATTTTATCGACCCAGTGATGATCACACCCGATCGGTTGCTCATATCGGAACCAGAACTGGAATATCTTGAAGCGAATCGTGAGAGCACCCAGTCATAATATGGACTCAGCTACGCTTCCAACCAGATAAGAATTTATCGTGCCGCGACGAGTCCCGACCGGAAGCGAAGCATTACATCAGACGACTCGAGTAGTCACGCAATAATCATCTCGTCCATTTCATCTTTGCCGAAACTCGGAAACGCTGAACTCACCAGGAACAGGACGAAGCAGACGAGTGTTTCGATCCGAGGCTCCATTTCCGGCTCTGCGATGGATCATCGCCCCTGAAAAGCGAAAAGCGAGTCCGTTATTGGGCGTTTCGAGGGATCGCGAACTTTTTCACCGAGAAAGACGTGCAGGAAATGTCGAGACACCGTTGTGAGAGAGAAATGAGTAATTAACGTCATCGAGTGACGGAACGAGCGTGAAATAGCGATTATTCCAAATCGAAGGCGGACGGNTAATAATAATAATATGTCACTTATATGTGTGCCAAATTTCACCTTTGCATTTCTGTCCATTTTGCATTTTGCATTTTCTGAATTTTTCCCCCCGCCGAAAAGCGGACTCAATGAGACACGCGTGTTTCGTTGAGGGATCCCTTCCGGTCGAATCCCCAAACGAGTCGATTCCCGATTCCGCTGCCACGAAGCACGCCGAATGGAGGTTTTGTTGATAACAAGGCACCAGATGTCTCTTTAATATTTCGACACTCCCCCTCCCCCCTCATACTCTCTGCTCTATGGTATTACACTGATGGAAAAATGTACGAATGGGGCCCGATAGATGGGAATGGATCCTAGGCAGACGGCACACTTGCAGCCCCCCTTACGAAAATGTCTTATAGGAACCTAAAGGAATCCTATAGGTTCCTATATGCCCCATAGAGTTCAGTTTGGGACCTATAGGGTTCCCTATAGAACCAATAGGGTTCCCCATAAGGCCTATAAGTTCCCTATAGGACCCAAAGGGTTCCCTATAAAACCAATAGGGTTCCCTATAGGACCTGTAGGGTTCGCTATAGGGCCTATAGGGTTCCCCATAGTACCTATACGGAACCCTATAGGCCTATACGGTTCCGTTTGAAGTTCTCCTCTTGGCCACTAGATGGAAGTATTGGGTTCTCACACTTCTCAAAGGGCACAAGGTGCCCTCCCCTTACCCAAGGAATAATCCGGAAATTCGAGATAAGCGAATTCGAGTTAAACGGAGCTTTTAACATGGTGTTCTACGGGGTTCCGTCTGGACCAAGCATTGAACATCGAGATAAGCGGAATTTCGACTTATCACGATTCGAGTTAACGAGTTTTCACTGTGCTTCTCTCTACCGAAGGAAGTAGACGCGCAATCCAGCGACATATGTTGGGCGGGGTCATAAATTATGCAGACCCTCGCAGTACTGGTATTAATAATGCATGTCCCCCCTACCATGGAGAAACCCCTAATCGGTTTTTGATTTACACCGAAATGCTGCGCCAATATTAACCCCGGTCGCCTTTTCCGTCGTAATGCCAGGGTTTCGAAACCCAAAATATCCTTCCTGAATCCTATAGGTCAGGAGACCTATAAGACCCTATAGGGATCCTATAGGATCCTAAAGGATCCCAAAGGATCCTATATGTTTTTCGTGTTTCAAAAACCTATAGGAAAGTCTATAGGTTTCCTATCGGATATTTCCGTAAGGGATCTCTAACCAAATTTCCACGAAAGTTCTCCTTTTCCACTGAAAATCTGAGTTGCTAAAAATAATTCCGAACTCGATGTATCCGCTGGCCAATATATGAGTTCCAATCGAGTTTCGAGCAGGTCCTGGTAAGACTTCATCCTTGACCTTGAAAACTCGACCGACACCTCGCGAAAAGTTGCAGGGAAAAGGCAAAGTAAAGCAGTATCGGCAGAAATTTCCACCCGAAACGCAGTTCACTCAGAGGGCCCAAAAATCAGAAAAGAAACGTCGCCGACGAAGTTCCCACGAAATCGACGACGAAAGAACGCCAACTTTGGATCGGAATCACGGGGAACATCGTGCTTGCCCGAGTGGGCCCCGATCGGCCGAACGCAAATCGGCATGTCGGCAGGAGGTAATCAACAGGAGGCAATCGGCACGATTCCTTTCATTCTGCGAGATCCACTTCCTCTTCGTGAGGCTATGGGGTCTCGGCCGAAAGCCCATTCCACGTCACGCCATCCATACAAATGCGTGCAATTCTTCGTAAGTGATATCCCTTACAGAAATGTCCTATAGATTTTCCTATAGGTTTTTGAAACACGAAAAACCTATCGGATCCTATGGGATCCCTGTGGAGTCATATAGGACTCCTGACCTATAGGATTCATGGAGGATTTTTTTACTTTCGAAACCCAGGCATTTTGACGGAAAAGGCAACCGGGGTTAATATGGGTGCAAGACTTTGGTGTGAATCAATTACCGATTAGGGGCTCTCCAGTGGTAGGGGCACTTGCATTATTTATATTAATACTGTCCGGGTCTGCATTATTTATTGACCAGGCCCACATATGTCGCTGGATTGCGCGTCTACTTCCTTCGGTAGAGAGAAGCACAGTGAAAACTCGTTAACTCGAATCGTGATAAGTCGAAATTCCGCTTATCTCGATGTTCAATGCTTGGTCCAGACGGAACCCCGTAGAACACCATGTTAAAAGCTCCGTTTAACTCGAATTCGCTTATCTCGAATTTCCGGATTATTCCTTGGGTAAGGGGAGGGCACCTTGTGCCCTTTGAGAAGTGTGAGAACCCAATACTTCCATCTAGTGGCCAAGAGGAGAACTTCAAACGGAACCGTATAGGCCTATAGGGTTCCGTATAGGTACTATGGGGAACCCTATAGGCCCTATAGCGAACCCTACAGGTCCTATAGGGAACCCTATTGGTTTTATAGGGAACCCTTTGGGTCCTATAGGGAACTTATAGGCCTTATGGGGAACCCTATTGGTTCTATAGGGAACCCTATAGGTCCCAAACTGAACTCTATGGGGCATATAGGAACCTATAGGATTCCTTTAGGTTCCTATAAGACATTTTCGTAAGGGGGGCTGCAAGTGTGCCGTCTGCCTAGGATCCATTCCCATCTATCGGGCCCCATTCGTACATTTTTCCATCAGTGTAATACCATAGAGCAGAGAGTATGAGGGGGGAGGGGGAGTGTCGAAATATTAAAGAGACATCTGGTGCCTTGTTATCAACAAAACCTCCATTCGGCGTGCTTCGTGGCAGCGGAATCGGGAATCGACTCGTTTGGGGATTCGACCGGAAGGGATCCCTCAACGAAACACGCGTGTCTCATTGAGTCCGCTTTTCGGCGGGGGGAAAAATTCAGAAAATGCAAAATGCAAAATGGACAGAAATGCAAAGGTGAAATTTGGCACACATATAAGTGACATATTATTATTATTATTGAGCTGTTGGAGTATTCAACTTCCAGTGTGCATCCCCTCCTGGCATAGCTTTTGGGTGTGTCGCTTTTCCAAATTTATTTTTTCCGCAAGCAAAAAGAGAAAACGTATAAGACTGAAACTGGATGGCATGGAGTTCCCTGAGTCTACATTTCAGAAGAAAGAAAATTTTCGTTAAAACCTATCAGGACACTTTTTTTCAGTCCCAATTTCTGGAATTTTTTTTTTTTTTTTTTTGATCGAACGAAACAAAGGCAGAAAATTTAAAATTCTCTCAGAAGTACCTGTTTGATTGCTGAGTACAGGAAAAATCCTACATTTGAAATATGTCCTCTTAGCGTCATTTACAGGAGGGATGTATTTCAAAATGTATTCTCCACCCTTACAAAAAGGGACACATGCAAAGATTTCAAGTTAGGCACACCCGAAATAATAGAAGTAATGATTTTGATAAAAATCAAGACTTTCTTCGCCATATGTCACGTACTTCAATTGAGAAGTACTTAAAATCCGTGTTTCCTACATCACAAAAAATAAATGATTTAATCACTAACCAAGGTAATGGAGCGCGGAATTCGCGACCATAGCGAGTTTGTTTCTACGAAGGTTTTTTTTTTTTTTTTTTTTTTTTTTTTTTTTTTTTT